CCTCCCTCCCTCCCTCCCTTCCTTCTTTCCTTCCTTCCTTTTCCCCTTCCTCTCCTTTCTTGTTTTGTCTCTTAGATGATTACTTCACTGACCTGAGACTTTCAAAGATCATCTTGACCCCATCCTCTGGTTTCAGTATTGACAATACAACAACATCATGGCACCATGCATCTTGGCAGGTAAGCAGTTCTCCAACTAATTCATTTTCTCAGGATTCAGAGACTTGGATTTACAACATCACCTCTGAAATGAGAGGAAATCAGATCAAACTTTGAAATAGATTTTTATTTAACCGAGTAAAGAAAGAGTTGGTACTTTTATTTGTGTATTTCAAATTCTTATATCATCATGTGTAGCTGGAGAGCATTTCTCTCTGGGTCCCACCAAGTCCCACCAGTCAAGGAGCCCACTTATAAAATAAACATACAGACGCTTACATTATTTAAACTGCTTGGCCATTAGCTCAGGCCTATCATTGTCTAGCTCTTACTCTTATATTTAGCCCATTTCTATTAATCTATGCTTTGTCACATGGCTCCTGGCTTATTGGTACCTTACATCTTGCTTGTCCTGGCAGCAGCTCCAGGCAGTCTCTCCCTCTGCCTTCCTGTTCCCCCAATTCTCCTCTCTGTTAGTCCCACCTATACTTCCTGTCTGGCTACCAGCCAATCAGTGTTTATTTATACAGAGAGATATCCACAGCAATTATGTTGTGTTGGAAGGCATTGGGGCTATCAGAGGATGCAGTCTACCATGTCTGGCCAGATTTTTCCAAAAGCTCAGCAACATGGAGACTACTTCCTCCCTCCCCAGCAAAATTTCTTGATTTCTATCACCATTCTCTGGAGAAGGTTCCTGGGCCAGAAGGACTGACCTTATGTGAAAGCTGTCTCTAAGCCAGATACCTGACTGTTTGAAGCCTTGGCACAGATTCCTGCTAAAAGACTTGTGCTAAGAGCTCTGCTATGGGACCATACATCCACATATGAAACTTTGTGATAGGAATGTGCCACTTCATGCAAATTAGGGTTTGTCTCTAGGATTCCCCAATCCTATATATTCCTTATACTCTGAAGTAAAGTTGAGCTGATTCATTGAAGTCTGTTTCCTTGAGGGCTCTCTCTATCCTACCCAAAGTCATCCTAACCCTGTTCCCTGCTTCTGCTCCCTCCAAACCTATGGACCAATCATCCAATGATCCAAGGAAGAAGCACAGCCTTAATATAGATGCCAAAACAATGAGATGGTTAAAAATGTTTAAGACTAACATATCTGGATTAAATTATTTAATTATAAATTTGAGAAACCTAAGTATCCTTATTACCTACAATTATTATCTTAAAAAATTGACTTTGAAACACATATGTACATATTATATATATATATAATTTTATATATATATATATATATATATATATATATATTACATTGTCTGCAATTTAGTTATAATGAAAACAGACAATATTACTGGCATTGTTTGTTGCAGTGTTTATTAAAATTTATATAAGTTCTAAAAGTGTATATTTAAATATATTGGTCAATAAAAATATGCAGGCTATGGAAATGGCTCTTTGTATATGTCATATGTCATACAAGCTTGAGGAGTAAAGTTCAGCTCCCCAGAACCAATGCAAATGCCACATGGGCTTGGTGATCCTAAAGTCCAGAGTTTAAGAGGTAGAGACATGGAATCTCTACACATGTGCAGCAAGCACTTGGTCTCATCAGTCCCACTAAGCTTAATATTACTTTAAAGATAAAATCTTTGTGCAGATAATGTGTCCTTGTATTGTTCTTTATATATTAGTATTATTAGAATCCTTTTTATCAGCTAGGAGTTGGTCATAGATAATTCTATGTGGATAATATTAGAGAATGGATATGTTTTAGGGTCTGTATTATTTGTCTCATTTACCCTCACATCAATGCTTTGGGATTATTATTGTAATTCTTAGTTAGAAGATAATGTGATTGCTATTACAAATTAAGAAAGCTGTCTGTTCATGGAGCCAGAACTCACACAAGGACTATCCAACAATAAAAAAATATATTCCTTATAACTGAACATGTCTCATTTTCTAACAAGTGTTTACTTAACCTTGGTTAAGAATCTCATAGAAAACAGGGGTACTTACAGTATGTTGTAAAACTTTAAGTAGAACCCCTTTCCAGTGATTTCTGTAAATTTGAAACACAAGGAATTATTTGTTTTCACTCAAAACTTATATTGTAAATTATTTTTATTCTATTAAATACTAAAGCATATCATATTTCAGTACAGTATCTTGTCAAATTATTTAGATCAATTTGAACATACTGTTAAAAATACCTTGTTAAACTCCACTTTCAATGTAACAGAGAATCACATGCACACTATATAGGTGACTCAGTTGAAAATAGAATATCCATGTTATACATATGAATCAGTAGATCACATTATTCATATTTACTTCAATATTTCTAGCACTTATCTTAAATCCATTCAACACTCTAGTCATAAAGTATACTTAAAATTTCACTGCATTAATTTAACATTCTTTTCTCCCATGGCAGGAAATCATACCAGTTACATTTTGGAAAGAGGCTAGCCATAGCATGAAAACAATGAAAATGTTAGGTACATAAAACCATTTCTCTTTGTCAGATCAGTATTTTTGCAGTCACATGAGAAGCAGAGACATTTGCTTGAGCTTTCTTGTATGAGCAGCCAGAGCTTGGAAGTTACTCAGTGCTATAGGGTTGCTTCACATGCTCACATCCCTGGTTTTGATCCCAACCAGTGAGAACAAAACCAAAATGAACAGCAACACATCTCGTGGCAGGTAATGCAGCTCAGTGGTAGCATGCATGCTTATCATGTTTAAAGGCCTTAGGTCAATTTCTAGCATTACACAAACAAAACAAATTGGAGATTCCTGAAATCAGTACCTGAAGCATAAAGGACAAATGTGCAGACATGCAAGTTCAAGGAGATGAAGGGATCTTAGAAAGAAATTTGAAATAGTTGGAGTAATTAGGTTGATGATAAAATAACTCATATTCTCAGAATAGTGCACTACAACTAAAATATATTTTCTTTCAAAACAGTTTATTACTAGGAAATTAATATCTATGATGACCCTTGAATTGCTGCTATTTTTGTGTCTGTTCAAAACAATACTTATGCTTAAGTACTAATTAAAAAAATCAAATAAAATTGCCATGTGTACTAATTATGGTAGAAATCTATGATATTTTATGCATATTCACAACTATAAATTTACATTGCAACACAAATCTAAATCATTTTCATTTTAAATTTCAAATTATTACATGCTCATGGAATTAAAGCACAGAGTTATTTTCTGTAACAAAAAGAAGCAGATTCAGGATGCTGAATCAGGACAGATTTGAAGAGTATGTGTGTGGTGCATCCATTTCTTCCTGGAAAGGAGCTCTTTTAATTAATAAAATATACACATTGTCTTAGGTATTTTCTATATGAAATTACATATATTATATTAGATAAGTATTAATGCTAGGGGATGTCATTCTCTACACTGTGAATATATGTTATTCCTATTGGTTAATAAATAAGCTGCTTTGGCCTATGGCAAGGCAGCTTGGAGGCAGGCAGGAAATCCAAGGAGAGAGACAGGAAAGAGAAAGGCAGAGTAGGAGAGAGGCCAGACTGCCTTCGTAGGAACAACACGGAATAGAATGCAGGTAAAGCCAGAGAACAAATGGCTGATAGGAATTCCAACCACACCCCCATGGTCATGAATGCCTGGTGTGACACTTAGGCATCTCCACCTAGTGATTTCCGGGTCATATGTCCTACATAACCTATGCCCCATGGCTATGTGGTCATATAATCATGCAGACATGACCACGTGATCTATGGGCATACATGGAATAGTCACGTGGGCTTGTGTGCACAGGTGCATCCTGGCCTTTGTAAGACTAGCCCCATGTTCTCCCTCCCTCTTTCTCACATGTGTTCTTCCACAGGCCTGATCACATCTATACCTTTTTCCTTGTCTTGATAAAGCTCTTGTTAGTGGATTCTGTCATGTTTCAGGACTTTTCCTTGGAGGCAAGAGCACTAAAAAAAAATCAGTGGTGATACACAGATTAATAATAATGGGTTAAGTTATAAGAGCTAGCTAGCAAGAAGTTTGATCCATAGGCCATTCAATTTGCAATTAATATAAGCCTCTGAGTGATTATTTAATAAGCGGATGAAGGACCACAGGATCAGGTGGAACTGGAGAAAACTTCCTGCTACATATTAGATTACAATATGTATTTTAATGAGACAAAAAGTATTTTAATGTGCCTTTCTGAGACCTATTTGATTGTTTCAATAATATTTACAAAAATTAGATCAATATTATATGTATTTATTTTATATTTATGATAAATCTATTATCACAATAAATTAAAATTATATTACTTAACATAAAGAGAAATTTTTATAAATTTATTTTATTCAATAACTCCATATATATATATATATATATATATATATATATATATATATATATCATAAACTTAGGATGGCCCTTGAGTCTTTATTTGTAACTTCAATGTTTTTTACAACCAATTTAATATTATTTTTATATGCTTATACCTTTAAAGGTTTTTTACATTGAGATAAATGAGTTATTTTCAACTGCAAATAAAAGATACTTTTTATTTTCCAATTATTTCTTTTCAGCTACTTAACAGTAGAATTCATTTTTCTTGTGTTCTGATTTCTGAAGTGTATGTGATGTGTATTTTTTATGGCTAATAAGGCTTCCTCTTGAAAACATGTACTTCAGACATAAGATAAATTTGAACTGGGCATGGTAGCATACATACCTCTTTAATGTCAGTACTCCACAGACAGAGGCAGTCATATCTTTTGGAGTTTGAAGACTGCCTGATCTATATAATAAGTTCCAGGCCAGTCAGGATTATATAGTAAAATACTGTAACTCCCCAACAACAAAAGAACAGCAGTGACATACATGTGCCATGTACTATTAAAACAAAATCAGGAAACTGTACTATTCTAGTCACCTGAATGGAGAAGGAGTTGTACACCCCCTCAGGGCAAAAATAAGATAAAATAAAACTATAAATATATAACTAAAGCATGTATTTCATACTTTAAGCAGATCCTACTATTAAATATTTGATATTGGATATTGCT